CCACTCACAGCTCTGGGGCCCTTCCTGCCTGGGTCCCTGCTCCTGGGAATGGGGCAGCCCCCTCAGGGGGGCAAGGAGCAGGGGCAGGGGCAGCTTCCAGTGCCAGGCTGGGGAGCTGCGAGGCCATCCACTGGGGCCCAGGATGATCCCAGGCAGGACGGGGCTGCTGGGGAGGGGGAGGAACGGCCCTGCTTGTCCCCGGGCTGAGCTCTGCCCTGACGCTGTGATTCTCTCTGCCAGCGATGGTGACTCTGGATCCAGACACGGCTCATCCCTATTTCAACCTGCCAAGGGATGAGATGTACGAGATGGGCAGAAGCACAGCAGGATCTGCCCGCCAATCTGGAGAGGTTTGACTCTGAAATGATCTCAATTAATAAAACCCTTTACCCATGGACTGCTGTCAGGTCAGCCATCACACAGTGTCATTTCCACCTGCTGCTCATATCTCAACACATGTCTGAGCTTGGGGAAGTGAAACTAGCCCTGCCCTGCTCTCTCCCCACAGCTGTGGCTGCTGACAACCCCATTGCAAATCTCCAGGACCAAGTGACCTGCTCTGTCTGCCTCGAATTGTTCAGGGATCTGGTGATGATCATGGACTCTCTTGCTCCCCTCTACCTGAGAGTCCCCCTTTACATTGGTTTGTCTGGCTAGGGTCCTGTCTGGGGTCTGCCCCAGCCCCCAGCTCTCTCTTCCTAGCTACCTGTTGCAGAGGTGCTGAGTACATGGGAGCCCGAGGACCTTGGCCTCCCTGGGGAAGAGGGCTATCACCTGAAATGTGTAAAACTTCCCACATATCCATCATCTTAGGCCCCCCAGGGCAAAAATAAAAGTTGGTGCCTATAACCTGTCATGAAAGCACCCCAAGTATCCAATCGGGGGTTGGCCAGGCCTTCGGCCTATTTCTTTTAGCCATCTAATTAAAAAAAACAGCAACACTGCCCAGTCAGGCTACGGGTCTGACCCTGTTGCTTACATGACTGATCCCATGCTTTTTTTGTTTAAATTAAACAGCAGGGGTATCCCTAGACAATAGGCACAGGTATCTGCCCACATGCAGTATCTCCTGTCTCTTTCTAGTTTCCCCAAGCAGGGGAGAGAAAACAAGATAGTCAAATATAGAAAACATGGGGACATGGGAACATATGGTACGGCAGGAAAAAAAAATCATATTTAACTAAAACCATGCACAGCAACACACTTTGCAATACAAAATGGTTCGTACATTTTGTGTGGGTTACAGGTGCATACCTACCTGGCCTTCTGGCAGAGTTTAGAGCAGGGGCAGGCAAAATACAGCCTGTGGGCTGAATCCAGCCCACCAAGCCATTCTACCTGGTCCACAGGACCCCTCCAAACAACGATTAATACTGGCCTGAAGCTGCCCCTCTGAAAGCTGGTGGGAGGCAGGATTTCAGAGGTTGTGAACCATTGGACCAGGCAGGGTTGGTGGGGGGTGGGGGGTGGCTGGATGTGTGTTTTGTGGGTGGGTGGTGTGAGCTATTCTGCCCCACACCCTCCCTCCATGGTGCACAGTCCTTGCCACCAGCGGCAGCAGCAGCAGGTGGCAGGCCTTTGGGGCACTCGTGGTGTGCAGCAGGCAGAGTCCCCCTGCGGCTCTGGCTGAATCACAGGAGCTCTGATTTCTTGGCTTAAATTTAGGTTACGTACAAAAGACAGAAAGCCAAAAACCTCGGTGGCTGTAGTGGGGCCTTGGCCAGGCATTAGTACTTCACATTCATTCACCCTGTGACCTTGTAAAGTTATTAAGGCCCAAGTTTAGCCAGTATTTTCCCCAAAACAGGACCTAGCCAGGCAAGTGCTCTGGGCTGTCTGTCAGTCACAAGTGCAAGAGGAGTCAGCGGGAGCTGAAGGAGCCCGGCCCCTCTGAGAGCCAGGCCGTGTTGCTCTGTGATGGACATCCAGAATAGAGAACCCAAATCGAGGGGTTTTTCTGAAAAATGGGCCCAGCCAGTCTGGCTGGAGTGGACTGTAGGGAAGGAGAAATCCCCCCTCCCACTTCTTCTCCCTCCTCCCCAGGAGCAGCAGGCACTGGGAGGGCCCCTGGGAGGATGTGAAACAAGGAGTAGGCAGACCAGGCAGATGGAGGGCTGTACACCTTTGATGTCCTGCTCCCTTGCAAAAACAGGACATCTCTGTGCATCCCCATGGCTGTCTTGGTGTGGGCCTCTCCTGCTCTCTCCAGGCTCTGCTGCACCCATGGGAGGGGTCTGTCTCTCCTGGCTTCTCCATCACACTGTGCCTCATGCACCTGCTCCCATGTATGTTCACTCAGGATGAGCTGTGTGCTAGGTGTAAGGGCTTATTTCTAACAGAAACTTCATCTTATAAGCCATGCTAGGGCCCAGGTGCTTCCTCATGACACATTCTGGCATTTGCTTCCATCTGCTTGACTAGATCTTTGTTAAGAGATGAAGAGGCAGGGGAAATGAGCAGGAGAGGGACAAGGAGGTCAGAAGCCAAGAGAAAGACAGGTAAATGGAAGCTGGCTCAGGATGGCCTTGTTCGTTTAGTTTATTAGCGGTTGGACTTGGTTTAGGGTTTCTGTAGGTGATGAGATGCAGGCATTGCTACCTGACAACAAGCAAGACTTGTTTGATAACCTTGTTTGACAACGTTCATTTAATATTAACGATGAAAAACCTATTCAGCACATTTGTATGTTTACTGAACTGCTTCAGCAGGCTTCTGCGGTTGGGCCAGGGAATCGAGTATAACAACCCAGGTCCACCTCAGATGTGTTGCTCTTCAGTCTTGAACTCTAGTTCTTGCTGAATTTCCCACTTGCAGGTGAACCAAGATCAGTGCTTCTTTAAAACTTAAGTCTTTAAATCCTCAGCATGAAGCTGGCCTGTGCTGGCCACCTTCTAGAGGCTATTAAGGTTTTAGAGCAGTGGTACTCAAACTGTGGGTTGCGACCCCAAATGTGGTTGCAACATCAGTGGGTGGGGGCGCGGTAAACGTGCCGCCTGAGATTTCTGCGCCCACAGCGAGGTGCAGGGCTGCAGCTGGGCCAGACCAGCTCCGGGCAGGAGCCACCTCTGCAGCCCAGCGGGTGGGACCCGTTGCGGGAGGGAGTGCCGCACCACCGTGGCTGCCAAGGTGTGAGGTGCGGCAGTGGCAGCAGCGCGGAGTTGTGCTTGGGTGAGCAGGGGGAATCTCAACTTGGCAGCCATGGCAGCATGGTGCTGCACTTCCTCACTCCCATGCCAGGTCCTGCCCACTGGGCTGTGGAGCCCCAGGGTGGAGGGCAGAAGGGCGGGGAGCCCCAAACATGCAGTGGGAAGCTGACATCCTCCTCACTTCCACGGGCTCCTCTCTGGCAGTGCTGCCCACGGGGAACGTGATGGGGTGGTGGGGAAGGAAGCTCGGCTCTGCACTCCGCTCTGGCCACTGCAGCCTCCACCTCCTCCAGTTGGCTACTCTACTGCAGGCCTTGGCAGCCTGTGACTGGTGAGTGGGCTTGATCCAGCTCATGAAGAGGTCCAATCCTGCCTGCCGAGGTCCCATGCAGCATGGGGGATCGGTGGCATAGAGCTGCACGGTGTTGCACATCCCCTCTGCAGCTCCAACTCTGCTGCATGTGCCCTTCTCCTGGCCATGGGGTTGAGGATTAGCAGCAAGGCTGAGCACAGGCAGCTCGCCACTCCAGCGAGGAGGGGCTGGTGCCTGCCCCTGGGGCCAGGCTGCAAAGGGCGGCTTGCACCAACAAAAGGTTTCCCCCCTGCCCTACAGAGACACCAGCTCATCAGCACTACAACACAGGGGAGCTCTTCCTTCTCTTCTGCCACATCAGGGGGTATGAAAGGGCCCCGTTCCCAGGCAGCTGGTGGAGAGGCTGCTTTTCTGGGCACTTGCTGTTTCCAGGGGGACTTGCTCCATGGCACAGCCTGTTTCTGCAGTGGTTGAGGGGTGAGGGGTTTCTCTGGGTCCTTCTTCTTCCACTAAGAAGGGGCGGGTGATATTCTTGGGTTCTGCTCCACACTCTCCGCAGCAAACTTTGTGAACTAAGATGGCCACAGACTCCTCCACCTCACTCCCTGCTGCTCCTCTGGACTCCTGCCCCATCCTTATCCTTTAGACTGTTATTGTTGCAGGACAGGGCCCCTCTTTGCTGTTATGTCCAGTTCTCAACGGAAAGGATCAGGGCTTTGGGCTTTTTCTGCCCTGAGTATCACTTCCAGTGTACAGAGGTCAAAATGTTTCCCCAGAGAATCCATGAGCAGGAGCTAGACTGAGTTTCAGCTTAGGAATTGCTGAAATAATTTCAGTTAAAAAAACCCGCGTTAGGCATGGACTCCTGCCTGGTCAAACAGCACTTAGCAGCATTTCCAGGAAATGAAACTCCCAGCTGTTGCTTGTGTCTGAGCATGTGCCTGAGCTCGGAGAAGTGAAACTAACCCCGTTCCACCCTCCTTTGGAGCCATGGCTGCTGAGAGCTGTGTAGAAAACCTCCGGGATGAAGCGACCTGCTCCGTCTGCCTGGACTTCTTCAGGGATCCGGTGATGATCGTGGGCTGTGGGCACAACTTCTGCCGAGCCTGCATCACCCAGTGCTGGGAGCGATTGGACAGAGATGTCACCTGCCCTGAGTGCAGACAGACCTTTCCACAAAAGAGCCTCCAGCCAAACAGGCAGCTGGCAAGTGTTGTGGACATAGCCAGGAGGCTGCGTGTGCAGAAAGCCGAGGGAGCCGGAGGGCAGCGAGTGTGTGGGGAGCACCAGGAGGCTCTGAAACTGTTCTGCCAAGACGATGAAATCCCCATCTGTGTGGTGTGCGACCGATCCCGGGCGCACCGATCTCACACCGTGGTTCCCCTAGAAGAGGCCACTGAAGAGTACAAGGTAGGAATCGCTGTTTGGCTAATGTGCACCAGCTTTAGGTTTAATTGCAGGTTTGTTTCTTCCCACACTTCCTTCCACTTGTCATCTGTCTTGGCTACTGGTGTGATCAGCTGTGGGGAGCCTCCCTTGTAGGGAACAGGTTACAAAGTGATATTGGGTCTGTAAGGGTATCTAGGGGTTCCTCAGTTAAAACTGTCGCGGGAGAAAACTCCCTGGAATTCGTTGTCTAGCCGCATAGGAACCAGGCTTTACTGCAGTTTACTTGCTCGAGCAAATGACCATAAGCCAGCAAAGAGGCAAAATGGCCCCGACTGAAGAGTGAGGCATTCTTTTATACTTTTACAACAAGGCAAGACTACAGGGTTAACAAATAAGCAATACTTGTGACGATCATTTCTTTATCAGCATTTTTCTGTTGTAGCTGAATTAGTACTTTCTCAAAAGCAGAAGTCAAGCAATGGTTACATTATGATACGTTAGCAAAAGCTGCACAGCAACTGACATTTCCTGAGTACGTGATCACTGTACTTTAGAACAATGGCTTCTTTGTCTTATGTGAACTATTTTATTTCAGGGTAATAGCTTCTTTGCCCATCACAAACAGCACTTAAATGAGAGAGACACAAAACCTCTTCTTAGCAGTCCTGGGGCATTGGTTCAAACTGGATCCTTCCCCTTTCCTGGTCCCCAGGGTTCACCTCTCCGTTCCACACTCACATGCTCCGTTACGCGGGACTGCCTCTGAAGCCTAATTTTACGTATCAGTGCACCTTCCCTCCTGAAGAAAACCATAAGCCATCCCAGATAGCAAATTCCACGATCCGTATTCTCAGCCTGGCAGCACTCTCCGGAGGAGCGATTACTAGCACATCACTCTGGAGGGGGCTTTTACCACTCACTTTTTCCAAGACTTTATGAGTTTTTCAGTGGGTTTGATCTTCCTCTCTTCTCAGCATCAGCCCTTTGGTTGCAGCTGTGTTCCTTTCTTCTTACTTGGTGATTTTTGCGATGCCTTGGGGGTAACAAAACAATAATTAATGTGGGTGCTATAAAGTCACTATTGGCTGTCACCAGGGATCCTGGTTTTCTCTGCTATAAATCACTAATTCTCTGACTAAAACCCCATAATCCACTATTAAAATAAAAGGCCACTATATATATAGGTATCAGTTGAACACAATATTTCATTTACAGTTTTAAAGCAATTTGGAAGCCTACCAGTGCCTCAATCACTATAGTAAAATTAATTATAAATGCCTATATATTTTGGCATTTGATTTTGGGTTTTTCATCATGGAAAATCAGAGCACCTGCTGAGAGCCCTCTATAATACACCCCAGGGAATTATGCGCAGGAAAAATCAAAATGATGTGCAGGAAGACTCAATTATGCTAAATTTATTACTTTTTTTTCTTTACACATTAAACTAAATATAACACTATTTGAACCTTCTTTAGAAATACATGCAGGTACTTTGTGTGGTTGGGGGTTGGGTGTGAAGTGTGTGTATGTGGAGGGGGCTTTGTGAAGGTGTGGGGAGATGTGTGGGTGGGTTTGTGGTGCACAGGCCCCACTGCTGGCAACTCAAGAGCAGCAGGCAGTGGGCCCTCGGGGTGCTTATGGCTGCGGCAGGCAGAACCCCTGCGGCACACACCTCTGGCCAAGTCCGAGGGCCTGCATGTGCTGGCACATACCTCGCACCAGACCAGGCTAGCTCCATGCCAGTGCATGCAGATTGTGGCACTGCAGGCAGGAGACACATGCCATCAGGCTGGGTGGGCTCCATGCCTCCATAGGCAGCTTCCTGCTGCCCTGCTGGATGCCACATGTGGAGGGATGGAGCCAGCCATCCTGGCTTGATGGTTTGTGGACTGGGAGTTGCGTTCCATCAGGCCTCGCTCTTTGCCTCCACGTGGGGCTTCCCACTGGCACCTCCCCACTCCCTCAGTGCTTGCCCACAGCGCCCCCCACCCCCCGCCCTGTTCCCCACCCATCTCGCTGGCTCTTCCCACAGCCCCCAGCCCTGGCAGTCACCCACACCTGCTGGTGCCCCCCATCCCCAACCTGCAGCTGGTCTAGCCACCCCCAGAACCACTGGAGAGGGCCCCCAGTTGGCCCCCAGCTCCCTGCAAGCCCCACTTACCTCAAAAGCTCCAGGAGGGAAAGTGAGCCTGAGCCATACCCTGGCTGGTAGTGTCTCAGGCCCTGCTGCTTCCCCCTCTCCCTCGCCCATGGGACAGGGCTTGGGGTTTGCCACCATTCTTGCAAGGTGCTCTTGCAGGCTGGAACTCTGCCAGCCTGCAGAATGCTCTTTGCAAAAGTGAAAACTGCATTGGTATCTCCACTAAAATGAAAAATCTGCTTTTCTCTCTATTTAAAGGGGAAATCTACACATTTTTTCCCTGCTTTTCTGTAGGAAACAGAAAACTCAGATCCCTGGCTGTCACTTTATCCAGGCTTTTGGCTATCACTCTCAAGTGCCCTTGGTTTTTGCCAAACTCTATTCCTTGCATCTGTGTGATTTGGGGGGCAGTTGTTCCTCAGTGGTACTCAGCGGGGCCCAACTACTAGAGTGTGATTCCTCAGGTGCACTCTATCTCCTGGATTCAGTGGTGGAAAGCCATAGGATATGACAGCAGGCCTGGAAGGGACCTCATGAGATCATCTTGACCTGCCTCAAGCAGTATCATGCATGACTAAACAAACCTAGCTAACTTGACTAAACAAACCTGTCTAACCTGCTCTTGAAAAGGTCCAGGTGTACAGATTCGATAACTTTTCTAGGTAGCCTGTTGCAATGCTTAACCACCCTCGTGGTCAGAAAGCCTCCTAATCTCTGCTGGGCTCTTTCCAAATCTGCCTACATCTTTCCAGAAATGTGGGGCCCAATGCCAGACATAACACTCCAGATGAGGCCTCACCAGTGCCAGATAGTGGGAAAGAAACACTCCCCTTGATTTGCAAGTGCCACTCCTGTTAATACAACAAGAGGATAGTAACAAAGTGCATAGCTCAGGGGCTGAAGCCCAACTGCAAGGGGATAGGGGGACTAGCCTGCCTGCCCAGAAGCTATAGGTCAGCTGGCAGGGGATGTTTGGCTGGTCGTACAGGTAGTTAAAAGTTCCCAGGGATCGTGGCTTAGAGGGAGAGGAGGAGGAGGAGGCAGCAGTGGCAGTTGGTACACTGAGGGGAAAAGCCCAAAGCCTGGGTTGCCTCTCTCTCTAGGTCTGGGGAAAGACCAGAGGTTTTACTTTCGTTTATTTGCATGTTTGTTTATGTTGTTTCTTGCTCGGTTTGCTGTGGGGACAAGCTCCCCACATGTAAAATAAAGGGACTGAAAATTGGAATGGCCCTACTGGACTGGTTGGGTCTTACAGAAGAGGCCTATTGCTGCAAGTTCAGTTAGAGACTTGGGACCTGAATACGTGGCCCTGTGCCATGGCCCAAAGCTAAAGGGTTTGTGCACCCACTGGCTACACCCAGATTCCTGGTCAGCTGTGGATATTTTAGAACTGGTGACCCTAGAACAGTTCTGCACCAGCCTCCTAGTAGAAATCCAGAGGTAGATGTATTGCCACTGGGTGGCCAGCTTGGAGGCCACCTGGAAAGTAGAGGACTTCATGAGGGCAGGGGTAGACTGTTGGGATCCCTGGGGAAGTGGGGGTTATGGGGAAAACTGGCTGAGTCCCTAAGGAGGTCCCCAGCAGGGGTGTTACCTCTGTGTCCTCCAAGACCCCAGTCAGGGGGAGGGGAACCTCCAGAAGGCTCTTGAGTGATCCTTCCAGAGAAGAGAGCCACCTGGGGCATCCCTGCAGTTCAGGAAGTGGAAGTGAAGCTTAAATGAACTTTCAATGCAGGGAGAAGGGCCATCGATATCAGGACTGTCTGCAGATGGATTGTGGGTATACTCATGCCTTAGTCTTGAAGGCGCAGTAGCAGAGCCCAGACACAAGGGGATATGTGATCCCCCTCAAAAATAGGGGATGTCCATGTGATGGGGCTCATAGACTCATAATCTGGACAGAACGTTGTCTATGAGCAATTTGTGAACACCGTAGACATCCCAGTAGGTGAATGCTGGGATTCACCTGTATTCATGGGGATACTTGACCCTACCCCATAATCCATCTAAGCCTGACCATCAGGAAGGTCATGTGAGAGCTGTGATGGCCAGCCATCTAGTATACCCTGTGGAGGTGAGGTGAGATTGGGGCTCAATGGCCAAGGTTGGTATGGCTGGCTCAAAGAGTGGATGGAAATCAGGCTGATCTCCATCCCATGGAACCAGAACTGGAAGAGATATTTTCCTTTTCAGACCCTGAGCTTTTTGGACCTTGACCCGGTCATGCTGAGAGCAGCAGCAGGTCAGGTGAGAGGCCCTTGCCAGCCACACAAAATACTCAGGAAAAGGGGTTAGGGTTCAATGCAATCTGGACCACCCCCCTCCAAAGGATGCAGAGGGTGAGTGAACCTTAGGACTTTGGGAAGGTGGGCTGATCAGGTAGTGGAAAGCTCGTATTTCATTCTTGATCAAAGGAAGGACGGATGGTTGGGTCGGGCCAATGGAGCCATAGCGAGTGCAAAGTTATGGGGGGAACTCTTGATGAGGATGACAAAGACAAGACCAGAGGGGTCTGCCGGTTCCAACTAGTAGTCCTCAAGCAGCACCATAGCCAGGTTGTGAAGCTGGCCCATGATATACCATGGAGGATCATTTGGGGTGGAAAGGACCCAGGATAGAGTGCTGGTGAAGTTTTTTTGACCACAAAATCGAGCACTATTGTGCCTCCCACCCCAACTGTCAGATGGTTGCCCTGTAACTTGCCCATAAGGCCCCACTGATACCCATCCTGTTGGTCAGCATACCCTTTGAGCAGGTTGTAGTGGACTTGGTGGGACCTCTGGAAGCCAGTTTAAGGGGATTCAAGTTCATCCTGGTCCTGGTCAGCTATGCCACCCGCTACCCTGAGGATGCTCTTGACTTCAGCCCAAATGGTGAC